CACTGCCTAGATACGGACGGCTTGGTGGCGGATATCACATTCGCTGCAAGGCTCCGGCGCGCTACGTCCGAGTGGTGTAGAATTTTTTCGCGGTGCGGCGAAAGACGCTAGGCCATTCGATCGCCGGATGTTTCTCCTGAGGGCTGATTGGTCTAATTCAATTGATTCGTTCTGTCTGGTGGCTTTCGGCTGCCTATATGATTTTCCCAGAAGTGTTGAAGGCTACGTTCCGGAGGGCAGGAGTCATGATAGTCCATTACATCCAGGGCAGTGGTGGTCTTCGGCAGGCGACCCAAGTCGACATGGTGTCATGTTTACACAAGTCGTATGTATCTGTGTGTCATTACAAAAAAATAACAAAAATTACAATTTCCTCTTTCATTCTTATTAAAGTTTCAGAATCGCATCGTATTCCTGCTATACAGTCAGAATCTCATTAATCAAAGAATACGTGGGCATAACTGAGGACCTTATTCAATTGGAATATTCGTATGTAAGTTCAACATTGAAACAAATGAAAAAAAATACGATTGGTAAGATTTCAATCTTCTGAACACAAGAATTTACTTAATCATTGTGTTAAAATTTAAAATTGTTGTTGAAATTTACTTAATTAATAAATAAATTTCTTAATTCTTGTGTTAATTCTTAGAAAAGAATACAGCTTCTCCACGTCGCATCCGCACGAAGTTTGTAAGGGATTTGAAGCTACCTGAGGAGAGCTAAAATTTTGATTCGAGGAACAGGTTCAAGGAGGGAAAGGCATCTGAAGAAACCCGCATTGTTGGCTGGTTGCCAACCTCTTCAGCACTAATGGCATCTGAAGGTTTGCTTCTCTGAAGTGTATAGCAGTCGCTGAACAATTCCTGTTGAAAAATACAAATACATAAGAAACTAAATCCTTATTCTCCGTGTACGAAAGTCGGAACTCGTGCTGTCGCGGAAGTCAAATACAACAAGTAAACGGTTATTGTTATTGTTATATTGTTAATGTTATTGCTTGGGAGTTTTGATCAAACTTTACTAGAGCAGCCGAATGCTCTCATGACATCCAGAACTGTTGCACTTATTATGTGAGAATGAAACTGAAAGCGCGTCATCGGGAAACTAATTATAGGAAATTAATACTTCTGGTCAATGATCGTGAATTTTTATGTTATAATATATGTACATTCAGTGAACGTTTCATTTTCCACTTCTGTGAATGTGATGCACGGTTAATACATCATCCATTTAATTTTAGCACAAGTGTTATCCACGTATTTAGAGTAGACTTATCATCAATATCTTATAGGAATCAGAGCAATTTATTAATCCAGAGACCTTTCAGAGCTGAGCTTTTCATCCTAATTTTTTGTAGACCTGCAAACATTTTGAGAGAATAAGCCTGAAGCTTAAAGTAATAAACTTGAACTTTGATATTGATAAACTTTGATATATTTTAACGTTAAAAAACGTTAAAACTTTGATAATTTTTTGAATGCCTGCCATTCATTTATTTATTGATCCTCGTTTGTGTTTATTATTTATCGGTTCATTTTATTAAAAGACAAGGAAATGTGAGGTTGATTTCGCTCAAATATTATTTATTTGGCATCCAAGGCTTTCTTCCCAATAAAAAAACATGGAAATTGCACTGCATTGTTTGTTTTATATAAGGGAAATATGAACTGACATCTTCTAAAATTCAAACGAGTTACTTCATATGTTTACTATAGTATTTGTGTCCTGCTATTAATCAATTTCCCTCTTTCATAAGCGAAAGTTTTGTCTAGAACATTTTTTAGCTTCTTTGTGTGCTTGATATAAATTAATTTATAAAAAAAATTAAAATTCAACATCAAACCATCAATGAAATTTTTGGGACGGAAATTGTTTGTTGTTGTTTCCCTACGAAAAAATATGATATTATCCTTTCAAAATACTATAATGATAAAAAAAATATTATTTTGGCGAACATTTATCGGGACCCCATCATAGCATTCCTACTACCATTCATACTTCCCCGTTCCTACTACGTCCCTGTTAAATTAAAACTTTGCCCCAGTCTAGATTTTTGGAGGTGCTACGAATAACCTTTAAATAAATATTCATTTTATTGATACCGATTAAAAATCATTCACCACTAAACCGTTAATTTTATGATTAATTTAAGTAAATTTAACAGCCAGGGGAGCTGCTCCACTCACCTCCAATAAAGCATATTTTATGTTAAAATAATCCAATCTCGCTTTTATTTCAGTTAATTCGGTGTTTCCAACAGACTCCAATTTACGACTCACAATAATCTTGAATCTTTCTTTCTTGTTCTCTTCCACACTTGTAAATAAAACATCCCAGGCTTGGGGACCTTGCTCTGCGGTGATTTTCTGAGCTGAGCCAGCAGCGCATCTTTCCATCTCTCATATTCAGTATTTAGGCTCAGTATTTCATCAATTAAACTCAAAATACCGGTAGCTCGCTCAATTTTACCTCGCATATTGACTAGTCTATAAGATTCCTGGCGGGTCCAGAAACATCATCTCCTTGGAGTAAGTCGTCTAGAAATTTTATGCTTGGCATGCGTGTCCCTGGTGCACGTGAAACACTCGAGTTCCACAAAGTCAAGGCAGATTTCGACGTTGATATGACGTTTAATTTCGGTTGTTCAACATTTCAGCCTGAAATCAACCAATAATCAACGTTTTATATGTTGATTTTTCAGCCAATAATCAATAATCAACAGCTCGCATATGTTATGACGGCCGTAAGTATGCAGCTCGCATATGTTATGACGGCCGTAATTATGCAGCTCGCATATGTTATGACGGCCGTAATTATGCAGCTCGCATATGTTATGACCGCAGTTATTCGCCACAGTGAGCTCGAGATTAGCTTTCTAGCAAGACTGACTCCTTGCTTAGCACAAGAAAAAGAGAAATGTAACGGTGCTTCATTAGGTATAATAGAAACCACGACTATCAATTAAGTTGGATGTCAGTGCTAAAGTTCAGCGTGAAATTAAAAAACATTTCTTGTTTCACGATGTATAATTTCCTTTCTACAAACCTGCAAGAAAAATATTTGGAGAACAATCGCGTCGAAAACACGATTCCTATAACTCAGGCGCTGACCCTTAAATCGCTGATCCTTATTCTTAAAACGATGCTGGTCACGACCCAGGGTCCAATCACGATGAAGGTGACAAACCCTTAAAATTTACCGGTAACGATAATGACTTAAAATAAAACATAGAGGTGACAATGCTGAGAATTTACAAGTGATAGTGACAGCGTTCATTAGGCTAACTATAGCCTTAAGCAGATTATTGACATCGCAGCATTCTAGCAGCTTGCTGGGCTTTGGAGCCGAAACTCGTTGCTCAAATTTAGCTTTTTTGAACCCCACGGCCACCTCGCCTGTTTTGACTAGAACTGTCATAGCAAGCTGGGATCGAACCCGCAACACACTCCATCCATTTTAGTACTCTCAACATGTAGCCACTTGGTGACCCTGCTAATTATTAGTCCCAGTAACAATAATTAACTTGGGAAACTTTAATGAGGATCACCGGAGACTCGTTTTTCTCATTAAATTTAGTTTTTAGCATGTTAAACTACCAGCCTAGCGATAGTATTCAAAAGTATACAGTATGGTAATCAATTAATGAATGTCAGGATAAAGAAAGGTTGTGTCTGGAGTTACAAAGCTTGTGGTTAAACGTAGCATAAAATATCACGCTCTGTCTAGGAATACATTATCCGTCGTAGACGTTATTAGCATCTATATGATTAATGACAACAGAAATACCATCAACAATGTGACATTATCGAACGATAGCTGCGCGATTTGCTAATAAAAAAAACACTTGAAACATGGACAAGAAAAAGATGCGGAAGCAACCACAGATTATAAATTTGTTGCGCTGTTTACGTCAAATCACAAGAAAAAGAACGTAAAAAATGTTTGAAATGGAAGCCTTAATACAATCCTGAAAAATAAATCATTTGGCGTTCTTAGCACCACAAGAACAAGTCTAAATCCCACATCCGTCTGACAAGGAATCCTTAACATGTGTTTGAGCACAATCCCTGGACGTCCGCCTCTGTCCCACTATTGTCTCCAAAATAATCTCGCATCAGCTCCCCCAACTGAGGACAGATGAGCGTTAGTTCTATTGCTCCTGGGCCTCAGTAGCACAGACGTGCCTCAGGCAGTTGACGACGTAGTCGCATCAGCGTAGCCCTGGACGTAGTCGTACAAATCTTCCGAAATTTTCAATGAAAAATTTGTGTCGCTGAAGTAACTAGAATCTAAAAATTCCTATTAAAGATACCAAACCAAGTACTGTTGTGATATGGGAATGTTATCTTTATTGTCTTTTAGGGTTTCGCTGACGATAGATAGGACTTCGTTTTGTTCCATTCACCTGAATGTTCAATTATGAGTCAAATTAAAATTTTGATATGTTTAGTGATGAATTATGAGTTCAAAGCTCCATCAGTGAATCATCAGCGTTTGAAATGCGCCGTATCAACGGTCCCAGGCAAGACGAGTCACCGTATCAATGGTTACTCATATTCCTCATCCTCCTCGGGAAGATCAGTAATACTCGGGAAGCTGAGGAAGTCGTGGCGAAAGTAAAGGTATTCTCTAAGAGGAGCTGGCAACACGTCTCGCAAGCCTTCCGTCTTCTCTTCAATCCTGCAGTGGCCGAGGGAGGCGCGGATGGAGAGGCGACACAGCTCCTTCAGCGACCGCAGCGGCGCTACACATCAACAAAATTCAATGTTCATTAATGCCAAGCTAATAGACCATTATTAAATAATTATAACATTATAATCTTATTATTTATATGCATGTAAGTATACACATTTATTTAATCGCTGACTCCCAACACATCAGATGTAACCTGTCTAAGCCACTGTAATAGGTGATCAACTATTGATCACGCGAATCAATTACTTCTCAAGGCACTACAATTATTGAATAGAGACGAGGACAAATAATTTAAAAGATACCATTATTCTGCCTCCTAAATTGGGGAACTCCGATTAAAAGTACAAATTGGTTGGGTCGAAGTTTTAATAAATCCTTTCTCTGAGTTAAGCTAAGGAGGTTCATTAACCCTACGGAAAATGCCTCGCTCTTTGATTTGAACGTACCCATTTGATTTAAACGTGCCACTACGTTTTCTGGACGATAGCGATATCTCAGCGGCCTCATTTCGCAACGAGACCCAGAAGGCGTAGGAGTCCGAAGCTTCCACCTCGGGACATAACGGTTAACAATGGAGAACATGAGCTGTCCACTTTTAGCACACTCCCACGGAATTTCCGTCTCGCTGTTCCAGAAGTCAGAAGAATTAACTTTTATCATCATAGAAATTTTCAACTCATTGGTCTATATTATTAATAATCAAACAAGCTTCATAATTGTGAACCAGTAATTGGCTGAGACCCTTACTTCGGGTGCAGGAATAATTCGTGCACGCCGAGATGGAGCAGCATAAGCATAATGAAATCAAGTCCCGCGTCAAGGAGACTCGCACACAAATCCGTCATCATGGGCGACACAAACGCTTATGGCTACATCGATCTGTCTGATTTTTGGTGGAGAGATGCAGAAAAACATAGGGAACAAATCCTGACCTTCCAAATTTTTCAATTCTATTACTTTTCGAGTTACAGCCATTCAAAGTTGAGTATCGTTTTTTTTGGGACACCCTGTAGAGTCATTCAATTTTTAATGAAACACTATTTTATAAAAAGTGTCAAAATGGGCCCATTGCCCTACCATTGGGCAATGGGCCCATGGGCTTTGGACAAGGCGCCCACCCTCGGTCCCTTTACCACAATTGCATATTTTTTGTTTAAAAATGATAAAACAACACTTTACAGTTAAAAATAAGAAAAATGTAATGAAAAATATGACATTCATTCATTTATTAACAACCAAAAAAATCATATCCTTAACTTGAAAACAATATACTCTTGGCTTAAAAAAACTATCACTGACGTGAAGAAAAATATTTCATTGACATAAAAATGTATATATCCTTGACTGGAAAAATATATCTTTGCGATAAAAAACTCATCCTTGACATGAAAAAATTTATCCTTGACTAGAAAAGATATATTTAGTAGATCAGAAAAAACTTCGTTCCAGCTTCGTCCATAATCCAGATATTATGTGCAGAGAATTCGTATTTAATAGTGATTTCAGCCAACACCATAAAAACTCATCAACTTTTGACTCATTGGTGCTGGCTGAAATCAACTTTTGGCAAGGCAAGAGTCAAAAACTCGATAAGGGGTCAAATACGAATAACTAGAAACTAGAACCTGTTGTCTAGAGGCAGGAAATAAAAAAATCATGCAATATAAAGTGTAATTTGCAATTCAAAAAGCTAGTCATAGTTTTGAAAAGGTCATTGAGACAAATCTAATGATGTATAACACAAGACTTCACCATGGGCGCTTTGCCCCGTGACACGCATGGGCTCGTTGCCCCACTAGGTATCATTTCAATTTATATAGTTTCAACATTTTATTTTATAAGCTAATAGTCTAAACTTGAACTTAAAATTATCCCTATAAATATTCAAAATATAATTCAAAGTAATTTCAAAAGCTTCATCTACAGTAATCGAAAATAGTTCTCTTTAGCAGCAAAAAAACTTGTATCTGAGCTAAAACAGTTATTCACAAATAACTTAGCAACGCAAACACTTAGCAAAACGTAAATCCGTACACTTCATCCCTGTGAACCTGTCGACCGGCGGTAGAGAACACGGACCAATATCTGCCATAATTAGCGAGAACCCCGCTATGGGCCCATGACCCGCAGTGGTCCGTTTGCCCCATGTTACCCTACTAAGGACAGTTAAACTTTACGTTAATAAAACCTACTAGTTCTATAGCTTAAGCGTCATAACTGGATTTTTTGTTAGTATAACTTCTTGATTACTAGAGTATATTAATTTCTCATTTTTATTATACGTCCAAATAAATAAAAAATTGTGCAAGCTGAAATAAAAAAGGGTTTTTCTAACCTATTCATCATTCAAATGTCTGATATTTTCTCTTTTTGTGTTCACAGCTGACGTTTTCTTATTTCATCTTAGGAATAGTTTTCCAAAGCTGACCATCATAATTAATGACTTTCTGAGCATAATGACTATTTCCCTACTTATTTTACATCAGACAAAAACATTTATGCCAAATTTTATCAGTAGAAGAAGAAAAAAAGAAACGCTGGGAATTCATCGGACTTTAAAAAGCATAAAATTTTCGATAAAATGGTATTTTTATTACAAAATTTTGCAATATTTCTTAGTTTATATAATTTAGCTCATAATATAGATATAATTTGATTTATTAACCTAAAAAAATTGGTTTTGGCAGCAAAACTGTTCTAGTCTTCTAATTCAAAAGGCTGCATATCAACATATAGAGTACTTTGGCGGCCATTTTGAAAATCACTGATTTGAAGCCTTTCCACCAATTATATTTTAGAGGATTTTTTATATGTCTTTTCTGAGGCCTTTCTGCATGTTATGGTGATGGAGAAAATTCTTTTGCAATTTGTTCTAGGTTAACCCCCTTTTTTCACTAGGTTTCCTGGACTATATAATGGACAAGCCTCCTGCCTGGCCACTAACTTTTCAAAAACCCTGATCACCTGTTAGGTCAAGGTCACCGGTCTGTAATTTTGAGGTCCGTCCCTCGGGCCTCTGTGGATTAGCGTTATCAGTCCCACTTCGAAGCCCTCAAGAACAATTCCCTCCATCATCTAGGCTTTCCAGAACATTATGAGCCAATACATGGTTCCAACACACTTCTTAAACAGTACCGCCGGAATTCCATCCGCTCCTGGTGCTGAGAACGTCACCAGTTCTTTGATACTTATTTCCATTTTTTCTGGTCCAAACTCGATGTTCTCCAACCCCCTTTCACCTAGCAGCTCCTGGAGAACTTCGATTTCATACTGCTCCCTTGACAAGCAGGGGTTACTGAAGACAGATTCAAACTGCAATCCCAGTAACTCACACATGCCCTGGTCAGCTCCGACAAGGACATCCTTATCCTTTAGCCGTTTAGCGGACCCACTGGCGTCTTTATTTTAGACTTGGATTGGGCGTATTTGAGAAAATACTTCGGGTTCTCACTGATGACCATAACTACTTGTTCCTCAGCAGTTTGTTCTTCCAGCCTGTGCGAGTCTTGCAGCCTGAATTCAGTTTCCCTGTGCAAATCTACTAGTCTCTGTCTCCTCAGATCACCAGTGGATTCAGGTATTTGTTTATTCAATCGTGTGCGTTTTCTCATGAGGATTCGTCGGTCTCCGGGAATGTGTATGTCTTGCTGTCAGATGTGCTCCATGTGCGTCATGCTGCCTGATGTGCTGTTGTGGTGTCGTGCTGCTGTTGTGGTGTCGTGTTGCTGTTGTGGTGTCGTGTTGCTGTTGTGGTGTCGTGTTGCTGTTGTGGTGTCGTCTGGCTGTTGTGGTGTCGTGTTGCTGTTGTGGTGTCGTGTTGCTGTTGTGGTGTCGTGTTGCTGTTGTGGTGTCGTGTTGCTGTTGTGGTGTCGTGTTGCTGTTGAAGAGGACAGTGACGAGGAGAACAGAGGAGAAGAGGACGAGGAGGACGAAGAAGATGAAGGGATGGCAGACGACCTGATCCTGACTACGACATCGTACCCAGCAAGCCAACGCGGGACGCCAAGAGGCGGTCGGCCGGCAGACCTCGAGGTGCGACCCTAGCGATGATCTCAGCGGCGGCTGCGTCACGTCACTGGGGCGTCACGGGCCAATAATTTAACTCAGTGGTTCCCAAAGTGGGCGAAATCGCCCCCCTGTGGGCGGTGGAAAGATCTCGGGGGACGGCGGTGAGGAAGAAAGGGGCAGTTAGGGGGCGGGAGTCCGCGAAGTCGAAGTCAGAAGTTCGTACGTTTGTTTGACGATTTGTACACAACACGTGTAGAACATGACTCGGAATCGAATAAATTTTCACGAGATAAAAATCACCGTTTGGCAGTTAGGAATTTATATTCGAAATTTCGTTCGAATCTGTTCAGTAGGTTGGAAGAAATTCTTTGATCACCGCGAATTGCGGCCCGTATCGCCATATAGCTCCTGAAAGAAGGTGAAATTTAAACATTTTCACGAGCAAAGCATCACCGTTAGGTCCTAGTGAATACGTGTTCCAAGTTTTATCGAGCTGCGTTCATTCGGCAGGAGCGGCTCACTTTCTGTGTGCCTACAGCCAGCGAAGCGGACGCTAAACTTATACTCAACCTAAAATGAGATTGCGGAAACGATCATAGCTCGAAAAGTTGCAGACTCAGAGCAATGCGATTCATTTCAAACGAAAGGTAAAGGATTGGAGTGTGTTTGGGATTTCGAACGTTTTTCTGTCGGGTCAAAACTTCATCCCTAAATTGGGGGTCAAAGTTAACCCTGAAAAAATTGTTTTCGGCTATTTTTCGGTGGTTTTTCAACTCTCGCGACCAAACCGTAGACATTTTTGCCATAAAAAAAAGCGGGAAAAAGATGCGTCTTGTTGCGATAAACACACTGGTGAAAACGGATTTTGAAAAAGTTCAAAACTCACAAAGTTGTGAGCGAAACTTTGATCAACTTTGATCAACATTTAACCAACTTTTTCACTTTTCTCTTCACAACTCTACGGAAAAATTTTGTATATTTTTTCAACAACCCTAACAATAAAGAACAAGTCTTTGCCTTTAATTTCGACCCTGTTTCATGATCCTAGCTTCTATAAAGATCGAGATATGATTTTTCAAAGTAGACAATAATTGACAAAATGTTCGTCCAAATCGCATTAGTCCGGGCGCTGTTCTGAACGTGTTTTACGAGTTTACTTTTAAGACTATTGTGGAAGCTGCGTAATTTTAGGAAGCTTTCTGAAAGTTGGTATCAACAGAGGATAAAATTGCGCTAATTACTGCCTATATAACTCATTTTCAAAAAAAAATTATTTCTATTAGAAATTTAACGATCAAAAATAAACCGAGATTCGGTTCGGCTCACTTATAAAATACTTTATTATTATTAGGCTCTTATTTTTTTAAGTTAGACACTCCATTCATATATGGTTATATACTTCAGCTCATTAGCATTAATATTGCGAAAAAAACTTCCCATATGCACCGTTAAAAATCGTTTTAATGAAGCAATAAGATTGCTCCCTGCCATGTATCTGTAGTCCTTGGTCCCAAACGTGAAGGCGTTAGAACTCTTTATGGACCAAGATTGAAGAAAATTCACGCAAATAATCATTAGAAGAAAACTAAAATACTCTCTGGGGGGCCCGGGGGGTCTGCCGGGCCCCTTTTTTTGCAAATATTTGTAAGATTAAAGAGGTCCGTGACAATTCCTCCTTAGCCCGTATCTTAGTGAATTCTTGATTTATTTACATTGCGGGAGAAACAACTGTCAATTCAAGTAGCGGATGAGCATGTTTCGGGGCAGATTATCACAAATTTTCCCTGTATATTAATTTAAGGAATTTATTAAAGCCTGAAAACGGACTTTCATTACTATTTTTTACTTCTGAAGCTTCACCGGTTCTACATTTCGACAGTCCACCTCAAAGGACGCTCCGTTTTCTTCGTGACAATAAATTAAATCATGGATAAACTATACTAGTTCAACCGTTGTGCTAAGTCATAAGTTGTTTACATAATATAATGTCGAATAATATTCATTCTCCCGATAAAACCACCAATCGTAGTATGAGAAGGTATTTTTCAAGCAAATATTTGTTAAATTTTAATGTTAACTGAAAACTGCAATTCATAATTAATTCATTTAGTATGGGTTATTCTTATACCTAATTAAATACATTTTCCTTAAATAATGTTCAATCATAAAATGTCCATTAATACTTTTCTGAATCTAAATTGAAGTTTATACTTTATTAATAAATGTATATATTTATACTAAATTGAAGTCCACCACTGCGTCCAATACAGATTTTTCGTAGGGGATTATTCTTAACTACGATTTTTTGTTTTTTCAAGGTCTTTTAACTCGGTAACGTACAGCATTGAAGGAAATTCAAACAAATTACAAATAAAATAAAACAAAAATTCCCTTTTTATGGCCCCGAGTGTTGAGCTTAGGGCCCTGGCGTTCCCTCGATTTCTGCCGTCAAACAAGATTTCAAGTAGAATTTCGCTCAAGCCGTATTGCGACGTATGATGACCATAGGTGTCCTGGAGTAGGCAGCGCTCGCAAATGCAACTAGTAAGCTGAGATACTGGTACCAGAAGAAGCTTTGAAGCTGTGTTTTTTGCAACCAACGACTAAGTACTTAAACTTTTTGCACTGTTACTTTGATAGAGGAAAACCGACATCCAGGTTATTGATGTTTGGAGTATTTAGGCCGGAGTTCGCATTTCCAACACGTTCAGTGAGTGTTGGAAATGCGAACTCTGGCCACAATCATGCACGGAATCGAAATAGAATAGGTAGGAAATTAAACATGTTGTAAAATATACGTCATTTGCTGAGGTTAGGTTCAAGCCAGGAACATGTTCCTATGGCGACAATCACATAGGGTGGTTAGGTTAGCGTTGATTAGGGTAAGGCAAAGTTAGTTCAGGTTAGGCTAGGATAGGTTAAGTTAGGTTAGTTCTTGTTGAGTTGGGTAAGGTTAGGCAAGGTAAGGTTAGGTGAAGTAGGGTTAGGTGAGGTAGGATTAGGTTAGGAAAGGTTAGGATAGGTTAAGTTAGGTTAGTTCTTGTTGAGTTGGGTAAGGTTAGGCAAGGTAAGGTTAGGTGAAGTAGGGTTAGGTGAGGTAGGATTAGGTTAGGAAAGGTTAGGTTAGGATATGTCAGGCTGTGTTCAGTTCGGTTAGGTTAGGTTAGGGTTTTTTGGCTAGGTAAAACTAATGTAAGATTGTTTTAAACACTAATGATACACACAGGAAAAGGCCACAATTGGGGGATTGCTGTGTGTCGTAGGAAATGTGTGGCAAGAAGAAGAAGAGAGAAAAAGAAAAAAAAAGAAAAAAAAAGTATAGCGGCTGATCTGGTTAGTTTGGGAGATATTCCCTGATCATTAATTCGGAGATTGGCCGTAAGACCGGCTGCGAGACTGGCCACGAATCCGGCCATAAATTTGTCCGAGCCGTCTTGAATTTATAGTGATGAAACAGTTAAAACTATAGGCGCAGGGGTGAACTCGTCGCTGTCGCCAGGCCTGCGGCGCTGGTCGCGTCGCATAACATAAGCCTGGGACTGCACCGCCACAGCCGACGCGCCTACAACTTCATGGCCAAGTTATTTGCCTTACCCACCGAGGCTGAGCTGCAGAAGTGGGGCGCTCAGAGCGAGACGACGTCAACTGAGGGCGACGTCGCGTGCAACAACGTCACTCTCACCGAGGCGCTCGTCGATGAGGCCACCTTCGATAATCTCATGTCCATTATATTATAACCTTATGGCTTCGCGTATCTCATTCTACATCTGCTAGACGCTCATAATGCGTCAGGGTTGGACTGTGGCCGCTTTGCCGTCTTAATGAATCTTACCTTCCATAAACTGCTGCCAGATTTGAGTTTTAATTTTGAAACATCAAGTGAATGCGTTCTAATTAATTGCATTTACTTATTCCAGGAATTTTGACGATTCATCCTTAGACTATTATTCGGAAGATCGAATGAGTAGAGCAAAATTTTACGGGTTACAATTCACTTCCTTTGAGAAAAAATTTATTCGCGGGAAGTATTTACAGCTGTTCAACTATCTTCACGTGTATTTTTTATGACTTAACGATAAGTCACTTGGATACTTGGTATTGTATAGCGTTGAAATAATTGTTGGTACTTTAACTTTATATAACAAAATTATAAATTTTCGACCTTTTAGTAGCGCCTTCGCTGCAGTCAATTGTGATAAGTGTTTTAATGCATATCGACTCAACATTCTCGAAACTAACAATTTTCATCGAATTATTTATTATGGTCACTCTGATGGCTGGACGTTTTAACACTTTCAATAATTGATTGTACTTATATGGTGGAGTGAATTATTATTATTATTATAATTTAATTTATAATATTATCAATTATTTTTCTTTGGTCCAATAACCTTATTGATCTTGGGAGCGAAGAAAGTAGAAGTATCAAAAGCTATGTAGAAACGCTACAGTAAATAACGCCCTCTTTACTCCTATGTATTAGAGGAAGTTTCTTGTACCTGACAAACCTGAGGTTTCCGCCAAGGTAAATTAGGTTCAAATGAAAGAATTGACTTTTTCAAAGCTGTACGGAGGTATATATTCATTAACTATTTGGAACCACTTATTATTCGAGGTGCTCGTGTTCACGCAATAAAATATGCTATAATATTGTGGCGTGAATTTTTCAACTTACAGCTTCTGAAACGTGACAAGACTTCTCTTAATTGTAAGCGTCATAAGAAGCTTAGTTATAATTCCTTTTGAGCAGGTTTTCCAAAATCTTTCTAGATGCATGACAATATGTGCTAAGTACTAAACGGAACAACGTCCTCTCAACCATTCCTGTTGTTTTATCTTCCCTTCTGTTCTGGCAGGATCAATGCTTTGTTTATGAAGCTCGAGTGTGTTGCGTTAACGGCAGCTGCTCAGAGCGCCAGAGCAAAGCACTGAACGCTTTCTTTAACAAAACTTTGCTAAACAATGCAAACATGCATATAATTTCGCGCTCTGTCGTGAGAAGCACTTACTATGGAACATCTGAGATTGGGCTTTAGTGAATAGAAACCTAATCTTTCATATTTTCAGAAACTTGCAAAATTTCAAGTTTCGGTGCAGTAAAAGGAAAAATTCCAACAATTCGGTGCTGAATACGTAACCCTGGGTCACCATTCTTTATACTAGACGACATCAGCATTCTTAGCTCCTGTGTCCGTGGCCAGCGTTCTTTTCTCATAGACCAGAAGTCGTCGCCGCCAGTCCAGGTGAATAATGCAGTCCGCGTACGACGTGAACGCAGTTATTATGCAGCTCGCATATGTTATGACGGCCGTAATTATGCAGCTCGCATATGTTATGACGGCCGTAATTATGCAGCTAGCATATGTTATGACGGCCGTAATTATGCNTATGACGGCCGTAAGTATGCAGCTCGCATTCGCTGTGACCGCAGTTATTCGCCACAGTGAGCTCGAGATTAGCTTTCTGTCACGCTGATTCCTTGCTTATCAAAGGAAAGGGAGAAATGGAGCGATGCTTAATTATATATGATAGAAACCACAACTATCAATTGAGTTGGACGTCTTTGCATTTCAAATTGCTTCAAGTTCTATGAAATTAAACAAATTTCTTATTCCACGATATTTAATTTCATTTCTATAAACCTGTAAGAAAAATATTTGAAGAACGATCGTGTCGTGAACACGATTGCTATAACCAACGCGCTGCCCATTGAATCGCTGATACTTATTTTTGAAACGATGCTGGTCACGATCCAACGAAATTCGTTGGTCAAATATAGTTTTTCTGACGCTCACGTTTTGATTAGGACTGTCATAACAAGCTGGGATCGAACCCGCAACACACTGCAACAATTTTAGTACTCTCAACTGTAACCACTTAGCCACCTTGTCGATTTCAAGTCGCAGTAACAATTAACTTAGGAGCTTTTAATGAGGATCACCGGAAAGACTCGATTTTTCTTATTAAACTTCGTTTTTAGCCTATTAAACTGAACTACCAGCCGAGCGACAGTATTCAAAAGTATTCAGTATAGAAAGCAAATAAGGAATGTACTGAATAAGGAAAGAGAAAGGTTGGGTCTGGATCTATAGATCTTGTGGTTTATTGTAGCAAAAATATCGCGCTCTGTCTAAGAATACATTATCCGTCGTAGATGTTATTCTTTTCTAAATGATTAATGGCAACAGAAATACCATCAACAATGTGACATTATTGAACGACAGCTGCGCGATTTCCGGAAAAAAACTCTAAACTTGGACAAGAAATAGATGCGGAAGCGCCCACAGAAAATAAATTTGTTGCGCTGTTTACGTGAAATTACAAGAAAAAGAACGTGAAAAAATATTTGAAATTGAAAGCTTGATAAAATCCAGAAGAAATCACTAGGCGTCAATACCACCACAAGAACAGTCTAAATCCCACATTCGTCTGACAAGGAATCGTTAACGTATATTTGAGCACAATCCCTGACGTCCGCCTCTGTCCCACTATTGTCACCAAAATAATCTCGCATCAGCTCCCCCAACTGAGGACAGATGAGCGTTAGTTCTATTGCTCCTGGGCCTCAGTAGCAAAGACGTGCCTCAGGCAGTTGACGACGTAGTCGCATCAGCGTAGCCGTAGACGTAGCCCTACAAAACATCTTCCGAAGTTTTAATGAAAAATTGGTGTCGTTGACGTAGCTAGAAATATTTCCATTAAAGATACCAAACCAAATATTGTTGTGATATGGGAATGTTATCTTTATTGTCTCTTTGGGGTTTCGCTGATGATAGATAAGACTCCGTCTTGTTTCATTCACCTTAATGTTCATTTATGGGTCAAATTAAAATTTTGATACGTTTAGTTTTGAATTTTGGGTTCGACGCTGCATCAGTGAATAATCATCAATTGAAATGTACCGTATCAACAGTCTCAGGCAAGACTAGTCACCCTATCAACGGTGTCATGCAAAACGAGTCACCGTATCAACGGTCCCAGGCAAAATGAGTCACGATACGAAGTACTCATCTTCCTCTGGAAGTTGAGAAATACTCGGGAAGATGAGGAAGTCGTGGCGGAAGTAAAGGTATTCTCTAAGAGGAGCTGGCAACACGTCTCGCAAGCCTTCCGTCTTCTCTTCAATCCTGCAGTGGCCGAGGGAGGCGCGGATGGAGAGGCGACACAGCTCCTTCAGCGACCGCAGCGGCGCTACACACCAACAAAAATTCAATGTTCATTATTGCTAAGCTAATGGACCTTTACTAAATAATTATAATATTATAACATTATAATATCATTATTTATAAGCATGTAGGTATATGCATTCATTTAATCGCCAACTACCAACACATCATATGTAAGATGTTTCAGCCACTGTAATAGGTGATCAACTATTAATCACGCGAATCAATTTTTTCTCAAGGCACTAATTCATAAAAAGAGGCGGGGATAAATAATTTACAAGATACCACAATTCAGCCTCCTAAATTGGGGAACTTCGATTAAAAGTAAAAATTGGGTACGCCGAAGTTTTAGTAAATCCTTTATTTCAGCGAAGTTATGAAGGAGGTCCATTAACACTAAGTAAACTGACTCGCTCGTTGATTTGAACGTACTTGTTTGATTTAAACGAGCCATTACGTTTTCTACACTATAGCGATATTCCAGCTGCCTCATTTCGTCATCGCAACGAGACCCAGAAGGCGTAGGAGTCCGAAGCTTCCACCTCGGAGCATAACGGTAAACAATGGAGGACATGAGCCCCTGTGAGGACATGAGCCCCAATGTGAGGACATGAGCCCCAAGGAATAATTCGTGCACGCCGAGATGGAGCAGCATAAGCACAAGGAAATGAAGTCCTGCTTCAATGGCACTCATACACAAATCCGTCATCCTGGGCGACCTGAGGCACACAAATGAAAATAATGTGATGACGCTCGGAGCAAGAAGCTAAAACACGAATGTGAAGAGTATCATATGCAGTGGTAATATAGAGTTTATATATGCATCAGCTGTGAAGCTACCTCGCATCGAATGATTTATTGCAATGCAGACACTTTCGTGTAAACGAACCCACCTGAACCAGCACTGCCCCTCTTCACAGCAGTTCCTGGTCAGCTCTGACAACATAATTCGATACGGTGACTCCGGCGAGTGCACAATGGCTTGGAAATCAACGTCAGTATTTTGATGGATTGGGCGACATGTGCATGGACTAGATAAGAATGCATGGACAGATGACACTGTCAGCCGGAAACCTGGGAAGTGTCAAAGAGTAATCGCTAAGTAAATTCATCAAATATTAGTGAAAACATTTCGTAGACCAGCACCATCAGCAGTTCAAAAAATACAACTTATGAGAACACAAGTAGAATCAGCAGCAAAATCCGATATCCACGAAAAAGACTCAAGTGACTAGAAAACGACAAAAAACTTATCCAGTTACAATATCAAGAGAATAAGAACTATACGAGTTATTAAAACAAGGTTTCCGTTTAAAAATATGCAGTGATTCTAAAATTCTTGGATCGGCCACCAGAAGTGGCACCCAGTATCTTGAAATCGCTCTCAGACACAGTCACTTTGTTGTTGTTAGTTGCGACCAGATTCACGCTCGCCGGGGGAGACTCAGGTGGTGGCCGGAGGGAAGGCACCGGAAGAGGGGGGAGATGGGCGAAGGCTGGGAGGGTCCCACAGTGAGGAGACGCTGAGGGACGGGGGGAAGGCGGGGCAGGCGGAGCTAGGGGGGCGTCCGATCCTGGCGGACTATGATGCCAGGGAGCTGCAGTATCCCGAGCGGAGCTGGGATAGCGCCGAGCGGTAGGGGCGAGGGAGTGAGGCCTATACTGATGCAATCGGCGGTGGTGAGACTGCGAGGACGACGTTGATAACGTCAGTCGCCGCAACGCGGGAGGCGATCTCCTTGCGGAGGGAGCGCTTGGCCTCTCCATAGGCACCGGCGGGCATGATACCATTTGCCAAAATGGGTGTGACAAGGTGGCTGAACCTCGACTGCATGGAGGCTTTCATGGGGCGGTCTCCGAGGGGAGCAAAAGCGGTGTGGAATGAGGTATGGGATGGCCGGAGGGCGCTGGCGAGGAACTGGGCACATGCCAGGACCAGATGAGCGGACAATGGGAGGACGCCGGTCTCCTGGTGGAGATGGGCGATCGGGGCCATTTTGAGGCAGCCGGTGGCTAGTCTCAGTGCAGTGTTTTGTATGGTTTGAAGGCTAGTTATTGCAGTGCGCGAGGCAACAGGGCACCAGATGGGGGCCGCGTGGTTGAGGATTGGGCGCGTGATGGTTCGGTAAGTGGCAATAATGTCATCCTTGGAGAAGCCCCAGTTGGTGCCGGCAAGGGCTTTTAAGATGCGAAGAAATCCCGTCGCTTTTGTGGCTATGGCTCTTACATGAAGGGAGAACGTGAAATGCGTGTCCCAGGTGACGCCTAGGATTTTGTGGGTTTATACAGGGGGATGATGCCGTTGCAGATTGTGGCAGATGGTTGGGATCGGGATTGGTGAGTGTCTGGGGTGAAGAGCGTGATCGAGGACTTGTCAGGAGCCACGCCATGTTTCTTGGCAGCCGACCAATCTGAGACGCCCCGAAGTTCAGCCTCCGCAGCGTCGAGCCTCGGGGACGACACGAAGATGGTAAGGTCGTTCGCGTATGAGGCAATGTTGGAGACCGGCACTGGGATATCAGAGATGAAGTGGTTAAAGAGGGCCGGCGAGATGGCCGAGCCTTGGAGAACTCCCGAGTGAATAGCTCTGAAAGGAGATTGTGTTCTGAGGTAGAGGCAGGATGCCTGCCTGCCTCTGAGACAGCAGCACAGCCAGCGGACCAGGTTGTGGTATAGGTTCAAGGCCGCGATCATGCTTAGGAGGAGAGGGTGGTCGACACTGTTGAAAGCTTTCGAGAGGTCGACTGCCGCGGCGACTGTGCGGGCTGGAGGGCGCCGGGAGTTAAAGCCCGTCGTGATCTGGTAAGCGAGCGGGAGGAGGGCGGTGACTGAGGAGTGTCCCGGCTTGAAACCATGTTGCGAGGGGACGGTGGTGAGAGATCCTACGATGTATGCGAGCACAAGACGCTCTAGGATCTTGGCTGCATGGTAGAGGGAAATAGCGCGATATGAACAGCCCTGGTTTCCAGGTTTGCCCGGTTTGAGGATTGGAATAATTATTGAATTTTTCCAAATGGATGAATAGAGGCTGTGGAGAAGGAGATGTTAAAAATACGGGTAAGGAACTGGAGGCCACGTGGGCCGAGGTGCTTGAGGTGAAGGACCGTGAGGCCATCTGGACTTCGAGCGGAAGAGTTGTTGGCGACTGCGATGGCGAGCTTCACCATGTCGGGGTGAAAAGGGAGAAGTCCTTGTCGAGGGGATATTCAGCCCGGATTCGACATATGAGGCGGCGGGTGGAGGGGCTTTGAGAGTGAGGAGCGATCGAAGTGAAGAGTTTGCAGAAGGCGGAGATCATGCGCTGGGAGGAGAGGGAATTCAGACCAAATTGGATTGGCTGATTGAGGGGAGGGCGGTTACGCTTTCCAGCTAGGGAGCGAAACAGATTCCAGCGTTCGGACTGGTTCGTGCGTCTGCTGCACGACGCAAGATGCGTTCGCCAGGTGTTCCTGGCGAACACAGTCACGTCGCACTGTTCGGCATAAAAGCGCACAGCCAAAGGAGAATGCACGGAAAATGACATGTTCGAACAAAAGCTTCTACCGCGATGCTCAGAAACACGTGTGTAGACGACATCATTCCGACGTATGTTGATGAGAAGAGCACATAACTGCATTAATAGACCAGGTTAGACGTCATTGACTCAATAACGCGCATTGACTCAACAACGCGAAGTTCTAATCCCTATGAAAATGTAAATTGATAGGTTTCTACGTTGTTTGTCGATTTCTCGTCACTAAAGTTTTGACTTTCCATGTATATTTTGAATTCTCAATGTTAATTTTATGAGTATTCTCCAAGTTTTTTTTTAACTTCTACTGCTGGTCTTTTAAACGTTTTCATGAACATAAGGTTAATATACTTGATGTTGCCTCTGCTTTTAAATTCTTTTCCAAAATAATGTTGACAACATATATTACATGTATCTTCTTTAATACCAGCTGATGATATTCATTATTTATCCTCTGCCAAAAGACCGTATACACCAGAAATAGAAGCAGTGAAAATCAAGCCCATGCTCCCTCCTAAATACAACACTCACCTTTCTGTTTCATGAGTAGCAGGAGCTTCGAAACTAGAGGAACCAAACATGAAGTCGTCTCAAGCAGCACAGCGTTGAGGACGTTACGATCTATTTCCGGGCCCTCACTGCCCAGTATATCTAAATATTAGGAAAATATTATACTGGGAAAATACATATATATATATATTAGAAAAATACATATATGATAAGTAACACAACGAGATTTCTATTATATGGAACTTTTTTCAATAAAGAGTTTCCCCGAAAGACAAGACCTCAAGTAATATTCGAATCATTACAGACGTATCATTCGAATCATTAGATTTACGATATTGCAAACGATTTAGGTGATCATCGGACGAGAACAGCTGGAGTAAATAGTCTGGCAAAGATTGTCAACAAGTTCTCTAGGGTTTCTAGAAAAGTTCTACTGTCTAGTTTTTCCTTAGTAGTACAATCGAAAGATAAAAATACAACTTTTCACGTGTGAGCAGCTGGCCGTTGGCCACAAATTTAATTCTTAAACTATCCCTGGAGCCAACGCTCATCCTATACATGCACAGCTAAACTCAGCCTCAAAACTACGAAGTCAACGGCAAAGCAAAAAATCGCATTCCACACCAATTCTGCAAATGCTTGAAGCCATAGCGCCGTAAGTCCACAGCCACTTCTCCAGTCTATGTAGTCTTCATAGAAGCTACATCCCAGCAAGGCATTAGCAGCAGACTTACCCCAAATCTCCACTTTTTTTGCAGCCAATGAGATCACGTTAGGTCCGGTTACGTTTGTTTGGATGGATACAGGAGTGCCGGGGTAAGAGTGGAGGTAGGCGCATGCTGGAGTGTAACATCCATGAAGAATGTACAGGCAGGAGCAGTGGCTGCGGACTTGCGGCACCTATGGCTCTAGGCACTTACTTCACGGTAAGGTGACGGGGGTAATGGGCAGAACTGGCCACTAACATGCATCTGCTTTCCGCAACTATCAACTATATAATTTGTTTAAATTCCTTATAAAGTAACCATTAGAAGCATACTTGTGATCAGTGTTAGCTCGTATTCTACATCAATAATAACTATAACCGAATTCTAATCTTTATATTAATCGAGCAGTAAAAATTACTGACTCATTATTACACAAGTAGCCACAATAATTACTGGAACCTATCCTCAAAATGTTCTAAAAATTTAAAAGCGAAGAAAACTCCACACAAATTCACCATATCTCTAATGAAAACGTTTCGGAGTCCAGCTCCATCGTCAGTTCGAAAAATATAGAACACTGACGCAATCAGAATTTAATACAGTCGAAATTCAAAAGTACACAAAAGTTTAAACCAAAATTTACAAACAAAAGACATTGTAAGAGAGTACAAATAAAAATATGTAACTCTAACTCAGTACTCACTGCAGTGAGTGACAGATCGCATTCGGACGAAAACGTGAAGTCACGGAGGGACAAGTTAAGGACGTAAAAGTCATGGACGGACATGATGAGCGCAATAGCGCCTTTTTTTCATAAATGAGAAAATGCGCTAAAACAGGCAAAACCTATCTATTTATAATTTCTAGTGGAGAAGTGCTAAAGGCTGCATTTAAACTATCCTCACTTACAATGATTTGAAAAATAGTTTAAAATTAACGATATGAAAATAGGCAGATCGGAAGCACCATATCTAGAAGCTACAACCTTAAAGTCTTTCCTGGACACTGACACGTTGCACTGCTCGGGGTGAGTACGTATAACTGAATGAGGAGAGCACGATAAAGTAACTGCCCATTCATACAACTCCTCACTTTATGCTCTGCGACCCTATAATAAAGATTGCATGACGTCATTCCAGCGTATGCAGCTGCAGATCGTGCACAACTATATTTATAAACTAAAGACGATCGCATATGACAAGGGCCGGATGATATCTTTGTTCCCATAGAAGAACCGATTTTTACATTGTTCACCAATAATTTCGACTCTATTACTTTCTGAATGTACCTGTGTTCTAGATTTTTCAAACTGACGATGGAGCTGGACTCAGTAACGTTTTCAATGGAGATATGACGAATTTGTGTGGAATTTTTTCACTTTTTAATTTACAGTGAATTTGCGCTCTAAGCAATCTAGTGACGTCAAAATATTCTATACGGCAACTAGTCAACTGAAATAAACAGATAGCCTGGGGATGGTTGCCATGCATTGATGGTGATGGATAGAGTCAGTAAGTCACTGCCTCACTCAGTGCTGTACGCAGCTGACAGTTGCTTAAAGAATGATTCAGCTTGCTCGCTTAACACAATGACTGCAACATACGTCAAATACGGTATTCGCTTTAAAAATGGAACTCTTTAGAAAGTCCTGTAAAACATTAAACCAGATCTTCAACTTGTGAAGGAGTTGATACGGTATTGACAGAAAGCTTTTGAAAACCTATACCAATTTAGACAATTAAATCAGAAGAATATTAATAGTTACAATCAGCCTCGAAATAATGAGTGGGTATGAAAAATGAAGAAGCAGGATATATAAGATGTTAACCTATTCCAATTCTTAAAAGTATTTTAAAAATTTAAAAGTCCAGGTAATGTTTTCGGTCCAGGTATGGATTATCAAAATGGAAAAATAGGTACTGGACATCGGAAAGTTGACTAAGCTCATAGCGATTGCCGCTATGACAGACAGGATTTTCAGTGAGATAGATTCCCAGGACAGGGATGATAATTATTGCTAGTTATTTCTCCAACTTCCGTCCCACTTTAGGCTTGCTTATTTCGCAAGAATGCCAGAGCAGAACCAGCAAAAGAAGCTCGTCGTGAATTTCGGATTTCAAGTAAAATACCGCTGGCAGGCAGCCCTCCAATCAACCAATGCGCGATTTGGTCATAAAATAATTTCTTTGTGCGTTTATCTTATTCAAAGGCGATACATATATTCATTTTCAACGAAATCGGCCATATAAATGGATTTTTGTTCACTATAAAACTGAGCGTATAGCTCCCTGCATTTACAACAGCAGTTTTTGCCAACAGCTTGAACAGTTGTCGGTACCACTTCATGCGCCGTCTTGGTGCACTATTGTAAGACATCCTATATGATTCATAAAATTATCATTTGTCAGCATTATATTTCAGAATTATTTGTAGCTTGAGAATCGCAGTAACATTCCCATTCCATTTGCTCAGAAAACTATGTTACTTCAGCGGCAATATCATGTAATGCATATTTCAACTGAAGTATCATAATAAATGTCATGTACCACTTACAGCGCACGATGCCCAGAAAGATATCAGTTACCGTTCCAGGCGACGTGTACCAATAGAGGCCAACAATTTTTTCTGAATCTCGTACACTCACCGAGACAAGAACGGAGTACACTCACCGAGACAAGAACGGAGTACACTCACCGAGACAAGAACGGAGTACACTCACCGAGAATATACGTTCCTTCCTGCACGAAGCCTCGTCAAGACGATGAACTTCTTGTCTTCAATCCGTCAGTTTCATCGCAACCCTCAGAGGAGGCTCCTGCGTCTATCACCCCAACAATTTTAGAAGCGGTGCCTCCTGAAAATCCTGGCGAGGCTGTTGAGACTGATGTGGAGACCCCATTAACATTAAGGCGTTCTTCTAGGATAAGAAAACCTGTAATTAGATACGGTATTGATGAATAATTTGCATTTTTTTTGGATCCCGTGCAACACCAGTGGTAGAGGGCAGAGACCAGGGCAGGGAACACAAGTTTATTCAAGGCAGGTCTACACGAGAGTGACTCGTCGGTGAAGACGAGGCTTAGCTTAATGAACAATAGAAAAAATAGAAAACGTCCTATCTACTATTTACAGGGATAACATTAGTGAATGTTGAGCCAATAGACTTCAGTATACAACAGTAAGTTACCAGTTCTACAACTCCTGCCCCTATGTACATAGGGGCAGGAGTTGTAGAATCTGTGTTCTAGAATTTTCGAACTGACGATGGAGCTGGACTCCATAACGTTTTCTTTAAAGATACTATGAAATTTTGTGGAGTTTTCTTTGCTTCTATGTTTTTACTGAATTTGCGATTCAAGCAAACGAGTGATATTATCTTAATTTATATTTTATATACTTTTGAGCTGAAAAACGTTAATAAAAGTAGAATACAGAGCTTTTCGTTGGTAATATGCTGGGACCTTGTATTAGTACGACTTCGTGGTAAATATTTTATCTAAGTTGGCATTGAAGAAGGCTTGACAGATTACTTAATTGCATTAGTTCTCTCAGTATAAGACGATTGTGCCTTTATTAATATTGAATGTAAGGAATGACTCGTTCTCCTTTAGATCGGGAAGTACGTTCTACCGCACCAGCTGAGCTTCATTGAGGCGCAGGCGGTGAACTCGTCGCTGTCGCCAGGCCTGCGGTGCTGGTCGCGTCGCATAACATAAGCCTGGGACTGCACCGCCACAGCCGCCACGCCTACAACTTCATGGCCAAGATATTTGCCTTACCCATCGAGGCTGAGCTGCAGAAGTGGGGCGCTCAGAGCGAGACGACGTCAGCTGAGGGCGACGTCGCGTGCAACAACATCACTCTCACCGAGGCGCTCGTCGATGAGGCCACCTTCGATAATCTAATGTCCGTTATACTATAACTTTATGGCTTCGCGTATCTCATTCTACATCTGCTAGACCAGTGGCTCCCAAACTTTTTCAGGCCGACGCCTCCTTTGGTTCCCTAGTAAATTTCTAGCGTCCCCCACAGACAAACGCCTCGTTCTCGAAATTTAGTACGCTGCAATTTTAAAGGAGAAAGGTTAAACACAAAAATGTATTTCACAAATAGAACCCCATTTAGTGAACCAATATGTTTTTTCAGCTGTTTTGACTGTTTCAGCACTAGAAATCTAGGACGTCTCGGGCGAATTTACGGCCGGACTCGTGGCCGGTCTCACGACCAATCTCCAAATTCAATTATCAAGTAGTATCTCCCAAACTAATGAACGCAGCTCTATGAAACTTGGAACATGTATTCATCAGAACCTAACGTTTACATTTTGCTTGCAATTTTTTTTAAATTACACTTTCATTCGTGAGTTACGCTTATATTGCGAAACAGTCCGAAATTCGCAGTGTTCAAAGAATTTCTTGCAAACTATTGAACAGATTTAACGAAATTTTGAATATACATTCCTAAAATCCATATTTTTTTCGATTTACCTTCGTTTGCGAGTTTTTTTCCATTTCACCGTCATTCTTGAATTCACACCTCCTTATATTCGGCCAGTATCGCCGGGTAATTTGTCACTTGAATTCGCGGCGATCAAAAAATTTCTTCCAAACTACAGAAAAAATTTCAGTGAAACTTTGTATATAAATACCTAACCTCTCAACGGTGATGTTTAGCTCGTGCCAATTTTTTTATTTTGCTTTCGTTCGCGAGTTATACAGATTTAGGAGGAACAACCGGCTTTTCTTCCGGCAGGTTTAACCAAGAGCCAATATACGTACAGCCGTATAACTGGCAAACGAAGGCAAAACGAAAAAATTTTGACGAGCTAAACATCACCGTTGCTG